TATATATGTTTTGTACCGATCTTAAGCTCAAGCATCTTCAGCAGCTGAGTCGAGACGATGAACTAGTCATAGCATCCGACTATTGTGCCTGAGAGGTGATGACATTGGGTTTAGGTTTCAGCATTCTCGAAGCCACCTCCAGTGGAGGCCTGGCCAGGGGTGCTCCCAAGACGATGCCCAGAAGACCCAGACGGCCAAGGTCGCTGGGTTTCGGGTTGCTAATAATCTAGTGAGTCACAGTAAAGGAGAGAAGTCCCCTAGGCGGGGCTCCTGCCCTAGCACCTGCATAGTATCTCCAAGCGATGGTGTGCATAGCTGCCGGATGTAGTTCTGGGTCCAGGCACCCTAGAAAAGGGTGGGTGCGGCCTAAGCAGGCCTGGGTGGAAAAATAGGGTTTAGGGTTTAAGGCTCTAGGGCTTAGGGTTTAAGGCTTAGGGTTTAGGCCTTAGGGTTTAGGGCTTATTAGGGCTTAGGGCCTAGGGTTTAGGATTTAGGAACTTTAATGAACTAACGTACCATGATATGGGTATTATAGAGGTTAGGGATTTAGGGTTAAGTGTTTTAGTTACCAGAAATGTTAAGGAATTCAATTTATGCGTCAGCGTTTAGGGTATATAGGGTTTGGGGGTCTAACTTACCATAATATGGGTATCATGGTAAATATTAGGCTTGATTGCAATCGTTAATTTAGTTTAAGTTCCTTCAAAACAACCCAGGCTCGTGTCTTTGAGTACACGCGCTGCCCAGACGAGGAAATGGGGGTTTAGAGTTTGGGGTTCCCAAAATTAGGGGTGCCCTTTCAGGGCAATTTAAAGCGACCTCAGCCGACCTCACCCTAAATGGTGGTTTATATAGGGGAATAGTATCAAAATTGCCTTAAACTGGGAACTGAAATTCATCTAAATTACCTTGTGTTTTTTGGGGAGGGGGTCCCAAATAAGGATAGTATTGGGGGTCTATATTGCGGTGCCTTATTCTGGGAAGCTACCAAATCCCTCAAGAATGAAGGAATGGATCCTTCTAGTAACCTCCATATAACCCCCAGCAATAGAATATTTCCATTTTTCTTGTTCCATGACCCTTGCTCGGACGAGGAGTTTGCTGCGGCTTTGGAGGAGTCCATGAAAAACGAGGAGGGGGGCCTCAGCCGCTTCTGAGTTGCTGTTAAGGAACTTAATTTAATTTACTTAGCCAACAGAAGAACTTTAACCTTTTTGGGCTTCCTTTTTGGGTCTCTACAATAAAGCTTAAACTTTTTAGCCCTGGTTATTGGGGAAGAGAGTTAAGTTGCCATATTATGGGTTTATGAGTTACTGTCAATATTAGCCTTTATAAGGGACCCTTGAAAGTAGACATAGGGGTCCCTCCTGTAGTTTAGTACAGTCCCTCATATTGTCCCTAGTAAGGAACCCATGTCCATTAAATTGTGTAGGGAAATATTCACTGTAGCTCATGTATAAAAAAGTTTTTGTATTCGAGTAATTCTAAAGAGGTTCCTGAACAGCAGCAACCCAGGCTTTGGCGCCCTCGCAGGGGCACTCACCAAGCTCTCGGACAGGTATCATATGACGATGCCAGGCTACATCATCCTCTTCATCCGCACCTTCCTTACTTTGGAAGGAATAGCTGGAGTGGTGACTGGGTATTCCTGGGACTTTTTTTAAAACTCACGAGCCGTAATCCCCATATTGTCGTTTATAACCCATAAGAGTTGAAATGATAGGCCCCTAAGTCTATCCCAGGTGATGCCCGACTGTTCCTGGAACTTTGTAAGTTATGGCCTGAAATCCCTACATATTTTTTTTGCTGATCCAGAAGAATTATCCCAGGTGAAGCCTGACTTCAACATCTACGAAGCTTCCATGCCCTATGCCGTGCAGCGAGCTCTGTCGCCCCAGACCGAAGCGGCCGTGGCGGCTTTGAGGGAGACCTGGGTTACGGACACAGGCTCTGGGGGTTTGAGGTTAGGCTTTGGGGTTCAGGTTCTGAGGTTTAGGGTTTGGTGTTTAAGGGTCAGGGTTTAGGGCTTAAAGTGTAATGAGAGCTCAGGGTTTAGGGCTTAGGGGTTCAGGGCTTTTCGTATAGGATTTAGCAACACAAAACAAAAACGTAATCACAAGCTTGTAGGCGGAACGTTCCTGCCTTCTGGAGATTGGTTGTGAGGGGCTTTATATGGGACATCCTGACATCCCTATCTATCTCCCTGAGCCCTAGAACCCCCCCAAAAGCCAAAATCCCTTAACCCTAAACCCTAATCCCTAAACCCTAAACCCAAATTCATGGTAATCCCCAAAAGATCA